CACAAGTGCCCCTCCATACAACAAAGGTCCATATTTAAAAGCATCAGTGGTTTTTTTGCTTTTGGCTATCTTTGTGTCAGCATCTACTGCCATCTGCTAGAGGGAAATCAGACAAGTTTATACAAAAATATAGAGTTTAACAGTGCAGTATATCACCCGAGTAGGAGGATAGTGCATTTTCATCCATACTTTTGGATTTTGTTCTGCAGATTGAGTTTCCAAATTGTTGGTATTTACAGTCCTGCTGTCGTTTTAACTTAGTCTCATTATTAGCTGAAACCAGACTTTTTCCATCTTAAACCCGACACTTGCTCTGCCCTACTCCACTGGAAAAACAACAGAAAATGCAAACTTGCTAAAGCAAGTTGTGTAGATGCCTTTTTTGCTTCATCTCTTTTCCATGGGTTAAATATTATCATTCCTCACAGGCAGAAATTTTACATTATATTTTATCATTTCAATACTTTACATAAATCAATGTTATCATTCACCCTTAACATCTTTGGGCTCTGAGAGAAAAGTATTGAAAGAGCTTGTGACTGAATCCCATCAAGTGTTAAGCTATCTGAAAAATTCCCCAACCTCATATTTCCTAAACTGGTGGTTTGGGAAATATGAGGTTTCTGCCTGGCGGCAGCAATATACATCATCCAGACATGCTAAACTCACATGCACGTATAATCAAACTGTGTTGATGTTAACTGCAACAACCAGTACCTTTGTGTTTCATGTTACCAAGGTCATTATCATTGAATATCAAAAATATGATAGCACTTACTTGTCAGTGTCCTTGGCTCTTACGTGGTTTATGACTTAAAAAAAATTTTTTTGGTGCAATTAGACTGGCCATAGGTGTTGTTAAAAGGTGAGAATAAAACACAATACTGGGAACAAATGTGAAGTCAAGAGAGGCTAACAGTGCCCCAGTGTTCTTTTCAAGCCTTTCTCTCAGTGCCACAATCTGTTGACTACCTGAGAGTTATTCATCCTCACCCTCTTGTTCATCACAAAATGATTTTGGCTTTTAGATTTCCTTAAATAACAGTGGTAGAAGTTCTCTAAGAAATATTTTAGGATTAATTTTCACTGCATGGCTTACAAGCGTCCCCCCATCGCTGCCTCTCTATAAACATTAATTTTGCCTTTCCCTCCCTGCTCCCACTCTTAATCTGTTACACTCCATGCAAGAGAGCTGCTTTTTTTAGGCTTTGAGAGAAACTTATGGGTTTCATTGCAATTTTTGCAAACAAGCTAGAAGACAAGTTAAACCTTCAGATTCCTTGCTTTTCTTGTACTGTATTTTCTGAAGTTGTGTTTTTCTGAAGGAAAAAAAAAAAAAGAAAGTTTGGCTTTCACTTATACAACTTGCTGCTGATCTTTGTTGAGAAAAATGTGATTAGAGGCAGTGTTGGCAATGTTTCAATGTTTTTAATCATCACATCTGACACCTGCCTAGGGCCAGCTTTCAAAGGTGTAAAAAAAATAAATAAAAAAAAGAATAAATCTTCTGCCAGATGGTCTCTCTCGCTTTTGTACATGCTATGGAGTCATCAGTATTACCCTCTTTCCATTTCTGAAACCTGCCAAATACTTCTTACAAAAGCTTAAAAGTGTACTTTATGATAAAACCAAATATAGGGCTGTAGGGAGAGGTAATGTCTTGGAGCTCAGATGACTTCTGTAATAAAATCAAACCATCATGAGCCGCATAATAGACAAAAAAGAAAAGAACAAAATGGAAAATACTGTAAAACAATGGTCATCAAATCTGAAACAAAACTGCTTGTGTCCTTGTGATATGCAACAGAAAGCAACTTTTTTGTTTGAGCTGCAGAGACAATAACAACAAAATTGTTGCTGTGTCAGCCTTTGTCATAGCTGTCAAAATACCGGAAGGCCGAACCAGATAAAAAAATAAAATAAAATAAAATTTCCTCTTCAATCTATGACCCATCCATCTCTTTGTTCTGTTATTTTTTCAAATAAGTAGCAGTAACTAAGAAAAGGCCCTCTTGACTACACACTGAACAAAATGGTGCACATATACATCAACAAAGTTGTCTTTGTGGTTTTCATTACTACTAATGTCACCATGATTGCATACACATCTATCATGATAGCACCGCTCTTATCAGCATCATTAATTGTACTCTGTTCATTTAATATCTGTCTTTTGAACTATTTATTTCATTATCTTTATTTATTTATTTATTTCCTTAAATGGATGCCATACAGCTGATCCTCAGTTACTGGAATGACAGAAAATCAATAATTTGAAATGTAGGGAGTTAACGTCTTGTGGTTTATTTGCAGGGTGCTTGTTTTGTACGCAAGAGGTGAGTGAACACTGGTTAAACAAGATCACATCTGGAATCCAAAAAATAGTATCTAGAGATGAATATTATGTACTGATGCACCCTGTCCCCCCCTGCTGATCCAGTATCACAGGGCTGTTCATCCTGAACACCTGATTTAGCAAGATGTAAAATGTTGAAATGAAGCTAAATCAGCAGTCCCACTCCTCTGACACACTCAAATGTACACTACAGGCCAAACTTTGGAAGCAAGGCCATTACAGGCCGAACAGTTGGGAGTAACTTCAAGTTTTTGTTCACAATGCTTTTTTTTAAAATCCAGCATGAGTTTTATGTATTTTGGGATGTATTTACTCCATGATCAGAAGTTGCTTTCATGGAAAGGCACCATTTTACTCTATTTACCTTTAGATATACATTGATGTTAACAGGCCATTGCTAAATATATATCAGCAAAAGATAATAAGGGCTTAGTTTTAGGGTTGAAAACATTTGCAAGAGTCACAACTTCAGTGCATAGGCAAAAAAGCAAATCACAGTTGGATTATTCACTTCAACTTTTTGGCTTTTGAGAGTCTGCATACAAAAATCCTAATAAATCTCAACTGCGTTCAAACTACTGCAAAAATGGCTAGAAAGAAGCAACTGAGTAAAGAAACAAAAGTACAGATTTGTACATTGAGGAAAGAAGGATACATAGAAAGAGAAATTGCAAAACACCTAAAGGTGTTTAACAAAGGAGTCCACTACACTCTGAGGATGCCAGAGGAACCTGGAAGTTATGGTGATAGAAAAAGACCTGGATGAAGACAGTTACTACAAAAGCAGAGGATAAACACATCATTGTCACCAGTAAGAGAGATCGGCGAAAGACAGCACCACAAATAAGGGAGGAAATCAACATGATAAGGTTGAAACCCATATCTCTGACAACCATGAAATGACGTTTGAGAAAGGCTGGTCTGAAGGGTTGTGGATCTGCAAAAAAACACTCTTTCGTCCACAGAACGAGAAAAAGATATGAGTGGGCAAAAGCTCGCAAAAATTGGACTTATGATGACTAGAAACAAGTTTGCACTGTTTGGTTCATAACGCAGAGTCTATGTCCACAGACAAACTGGTGAACGTCTGAAAGCACCATGTGTTACGCCTGGTTCACACAGGAAGCGCCGGCTTGCGCTTGGCTGTTCACACATAAAGCGTTTTCTGCTGCGCTCTGACACGCCGGTCAGACATCGACTGAGCCCGGCAGTGCTCAGCCGTTTCCGTCTGCCCTCAGTTTTCCACACTTACGAGCGCTTTAAAAATGGGTAAATCAATATTTATTTACGTTTTTATTTCGTCATACATAAATTAAATATTGGCAGCATCATCAAGTATTGTTTTAAATTTTTATATAGGGGTAAACAACGAATAAATTGGGGAGTCTGTTGACTCCGTTGTATGTATAGCCTTGTTAGCTCAAGGCTATTGACTGTATCGTAATAAAGTCCCCCTCCTTTGTCTCAATAACATCACTGAATCTCTGCAGCTCTCCCTCTGTGTGTGTGTGTGTGTGTGTGTGTGTTTGTGTGTGCGTTCATGCGTGTCGGGAAAAAATAGACCGACAAGCAACACCGTAAATCCTTTTTTTCTAATTTATTGAAATTTATTTTATTTTGAAAATTGACCGGATTCTCTCGCATCTCCTGTTCCGACTTCCTGTCTGGTCCGACCTGCTCTGTCCAGCTTTACAATTGGCGCGCGCGGCTCGCGCCAAAAATAGAGCGAAGCGGAGCGGCCGCGCTCCCGCGCGCGAGCTGTGTGAACAGTCTCATAAGTTAACACGGGCGCCGATCTGAAACTCTGTGCGCGGCGCTTCCTGTGTGAACCAGGCGTTACACCCACAATTCAGCATGGAGGTGGTAGTTCCATGGTATGGGGATGTTTTGCAGGTGATGGAGTAGGAGACTGGTTTGAAGTAAAGGGTATCATGAAGAAAGAACAGTACTACTCCATCCTCCAGCACCATACTGTTCCATCTGGACTCAGACTTGTGACTCATAAGTTTGTTTTGCAGCAAGACAATGACCCTAAGCACTCTGCCAAGCTCTGTCAAGGTTACCTAGACAAAAAAGAAGAGGAAGGTGTTCTTCAAAAGATGGTTTGGCCCCCTCAGTCTCCAGACCTTTCTGCAATTTAGCTTGTGCAGGATGAATTGGATCGATCGGTCAGAAAAATGCGTCCCACAAATCAGCAGTCTCTTTTTAATAAACTTAAGAAAGCTTGGAATGCAATCCCTGGAACATACCTTGAAAAACTTGTGGAACGAATGCCTGGTATATGCCAAGCTGTTGTTAAAGCCAGAGGAGGTTACTTTGAAGAAAGCAAAGTCTAAGCAACAATAACTCAAATACCTAATAATAATAGTCAAAATGTCTTCTGATAAGTTACTCTTTACACAATAGTCATGTTTATTGTGTTGCAAATTATATATATGGAACTATGATCTTTTTTTGTACAAATCTGATCTTGCTTCCAAACTTTTGGCCTGTAGTGTAGCTTTCAAATGGGAAATCAGATAAACCCCTGCATGAAACATCTTTGGACAAAGTTTTTTTGAAAGGGTCATTGAGCCTGTGCTTTAGTCTGAAAAAAAGATTTTCTTAAATCTTGTGATGAATGTCATCGATTAAGCATAATTTGATTTTAGCCCAAATAAAGTTTAAAATCAAGTTTTGTGACATCCCCCATATTTATGAGTAAAAATAGAACTTGCCATCATTCTAATTGTGTATAAAACTCTCTGTTTTGAAATAGGAATTTAAAAAGGGGCTTTTTTCTTTCTTTCTTTCTTTCTTTCTTTCTTTCTTTATCAAGTATAATGTTGTCCAAGTCTCATTGGTGGATTCTCCCCAATTGCCTTTATTACAAATGTTCTGAGAGGGGTAAAGAATGGGAGGAGATGAATAACAGAGTCCGAGGGTTGTAGAAAAAAAAAAGCTGAATACTAAATTTTCAAAGGATGAAAGAAGAAAAATGGAGGTAAGAAAACTAAAGCCAGATGTCTGTCACCAAAATGAGACAGAAAAAGCTGAGTTCCATGTGTGCTTCATGCTCTATTATCATCCATGTTTTTATTACAGAGGGCTTGTTGCTCTGAAAATGCATTGCCCTATTAGATAATATTGCTTATTTCTTTTATTTCTTTATCATAATTGTTAATTGTGTAAGACAAGCCTAAGCATTTCTTTCCTGTCCTTACTAGACTCAATTGGGTTTACACAGTGTGTACATAGACCTACGCACTGCTTTAACCACACCCTCGATCTTGTCCTGGCTTATGGCCTCGAAGCTGAAGCCCTGTTAGTCAGCTCATTAAATCCTCTTTTATCTGATCACTTTCTAGTAACTTTTGAATTTATGCTTTCAGGCTACTCTCCCCATAACAAAGCCGTGCTAACTAGAAGGTTGTCTGAAAATGCTGTGACTAAGTTCAAGGAGGTAATTCCATCTGCTCTAAATCCTGTGGTTGAAAAGAACTTCGGTGATAGCTTATACTTAAACATCAGTCCCTTGCAACTTGATCAGTTCGTCGATGATACCTCAGGCACATTGCGATCAATTCTAGACTCAGTTGCTCCTCTTCGACAAAAAACTCTTACACGCGAGAGGCTAGCCCCGTGGTATAATGTCAAAACCCGTGAGCTGAAACAGTTATTAAGAAGACGTGAAAGGATTTGGCGCTCTTCCAAAACAGCTGAAGCTCGTTTTCTCTGGCAGGAATGTCTTGATAAATATAAGAAGGCCCTACGACGTGCTCGGACAACTTACTACTCGTCTCTTATTGAGGAAAATAAGAATAACCCCAGATATCTCTTCAGCACTGTAGCCAGGCTGACGGACTGTCAGAGCACCGCTGAACCATGTATCCCATTAGCCCTCAGCAGCGACGACTTCTTGAGCTTTTTCAATGATAAAATTTTAAAAATAAGAGGTAAAATTAGTAAGCTCTTGCCTTCATCAGGTGTCTCTCTCTTAGATAACCCTAAAAATGTTGAGGAGCCCCTAAGGCCTCTGGTGCACCTAAGTAACTTTGCACCTATTGACCTTCCTGAGTTAAAGTCAGTGGTGTTGGCAGCCAAACCAACTAGGTGTCTTTTGGACCCAATTCTGTCTAAACTGCTAAAGGAAACTCTTCCTTTGATCAGTACGTCCTTGCTTAAATTGATTAACACGTCTTTATCAACAGGATATGTTCCCCAGTCTTTCAAGACTGCATTGATTAAGCCTCTCCTTAAAAAACCTACTCTTGACTCAAGCACCCTAGCTAACTATAGACCAATATCCAACCTTCCTTTTATTTCTAAAGTCCTGGAGAAAGTTGTTGCGAATCAACTCTGTGATTTTCTTCATAACAACGGTTTATTGGAGGATTTCCAGTCTGGATTTAGAACCCATCACAGCACAGAGACTGCTCTGCTGAAGGTGACAAATGACCTACTCATGGCCTCAGACAGTGGTCTTCTCTCTGTTCTCGTCCTGTTGGATCTTAGTGCTGCGTTTGACACGATCGACCACTGCATCCTGCTTCAGAGACTGGAACAATCTATAGGCATAGCAGGATCAGCTCTCTCCTGGTTTAAATCGTATCTAACGGATCGATCCCAGTTTGTCCATGTTAATAATGAATCCTCTGCACACACCAAGGTCTGCTACGGAGTGCCGCAAGGGTCAGTGCTTGGACCGATCCTTTTTACCCTGTACATGCTTCCGCTGGGGAAAATTATGAGGAAGTACTCGATTAATTTCCACTGTTATGCAGATGACACCCAGCTATACCTATCCATGAAGCCGGAGGAAGCAGGCCAGGTTGCCAGGTTGGAAGCCTGTCTCAAGGATATAAAATCCTGGATGACCAACAACTTTCTGATGCTCAACTCAGACAAAACTGAAGTTCTTGTCCTCGGTCCTAAACACCTTAGAGAGGCATTCTCTAGTAATTTAGCTACATTTGATGGTATCAGCCTGGCATCCAGCCCCACTGTGCGAAATCTGGGAGTTTTATTTGATCAGGAGTTGTCTTTTAGCTCCCACATTCAACAAATTTTTAGGACAGCTTTTTTCCACCTGCGCAATATCTCAAAAATTAGACGCATCCTGTCTCAGAGCGATGCAGAAAAACTGGTCCATGCCTTTGTTACCTCTCGACTGGACTACTGTAATTCTCTCTTATCAGGCTGCTCCAGTACGTCATTAAGGACTCTTCAGCTGGTCCAAAATGCAGCAGCTTGGGTACTGACTAGAACCTGAAGAAGGGAGCACATCTCTCCTGTCTTAGCCTCTCTTCACTGGCTCCCTATTAAATCTAGAATTGAGTTTAAAATCCTCCTTGTGGCATATAAAGTGCTTAACGGCCAGGCTCCATCATATCTCGACGAGCTAGTTATACCGTACTTTCCATCTAGACCGTTACGCTCACAGTCTGCAGGCCTGCTTGTTGTACCAAATGTCTCTAAAAGTAGTACTGGAGGGAGAGCCTTCAGCTACCAGGCACCTCTCCTCTGGAATCATTTACCGCTCGAGGTTCGGGGGGCAGACACCCTCTCAACTTTCAAGAGTAGACTTAAAACGTTCCTCTTTGATAAAGCTTATAGTCGGGGCTGACTTGAACAAGCTCTTAGTTATGCTGTTGTGGCAGGCAGCACCTTGCTGCTGTTGAATGCAGCTCTCCCTCCTCCTCTAACCCCTCCCTTCCCCTAATCAGGTCAGCTGAATAAAAGGCAGCAGCTCACCTGCAGTCGGCCCTCCGCTCTGCTCGGAGTGCTGGTGGTAGACCTGCTGCTGTTTTGTTGCCCCCATTAACTGTCGTTATTTTTGCCTGTTTACTTTGGTTGTTTCCGCCCTTGTGATTGGTTTCCCCCCTTACTTGGTTTGTTTCTACCGCTAAGTTTGGTTGTTTTACCCAGTTACTCCCCCATTAGTTTGGATTCTGTTCTTAGTTACTCTTAGTTGCTTTTCTCCTTAGTGATTCTAGTTTTACCAACTGGGTTCGCTGTTGCTGGTTTGTTTGTTTCTTTGGTTAATCCTTTTATTTTATTTCAAACAAGTTGAGCCCACTCGTTTGGGAGGCTAGGCACCCCGGGTGAGGGCCCTCCACCTTTGCATGAGTTTGACACGGGGTCACAAGAATACACCAATTTGTTTCTTTTTTGAAGGTTTGAAGTGTGTGTGCTGTGCCTCACTTGGTGAGTATAAGGGAGCACTCCCCTGCACTTTCCCTCTGTAGTCTGCCTCCCTTCTGGTGGCCTCAGCTTATTTTAAGTTAACTTAGTTTGGTTTTCTTTGATTTAGTTTAAGTTGGGTTTATTGTACATTTTAACTGTTTTTAACTTTTGTAGAAGGCCTTGTTTTAAATTATTATAGAAATAAAATTAACTTTCTTGACCCTTATTTGTGTTTTGTTATGTTGTTTTAACTTTATCCCTTTCTTTCCCTCCTAGGTTAAATTTCTCAGTTATATTTAAGTTTAACTATTTTTGATCTAATAAATATTTTGAAATATTTTGAACTCTGTCTCTGCCTCTTTCAGAATTTACCTGTGTTGCCTTATTCTTATTTTAGCTTCCTGTTATGATTTTAGTCTGAAAGTACAGTTTCCTGGGGTGCAAGTCCCCAGGTGGCGTTGCTGGTTCGAGACAATATCATCTAATTGTGAACAAAATAGCACCCCTTGCCACACTGCTATAGGTCTAGACTGCCAGGGCTATCTGGCACACCGAGCTAGAGTCTGTCTCTATCTCTTCTTTAGATCTTTATGTCCCATATAAGTCACTGACCAGTTTTCTGTCTCTCTGAGTGTCTCTGAGTCTTTTAGCTGCCACTGGACTAATGCTGCAGACGGTCTGCTGCGGAACTGCCTGACCCCAGCTGCATCCACCCTGGGCCCTGAGCTCCTCCATCTCTTTGGCTCCTCTGGACCGTTGCTGCAGACCCCACGCCCCCCGCCCCTTGGTTGCTCCGGACTGATGGCTGCTGCAGACCTGCCTGACTGTAGCCGCATCGTCTACGATTGTCCGCCTCAGGCCCTGAGCTCCTTCTTCTCTTGGATTCCTCTGGACTGTTACTGTTACTGCAGACATGAACATTAGCCTCACTGACATTAATAACATAAAACTAGAGTTGACTACTGTCTATGATTGTCTACCACAGGCCCTGAGCTCCTTCTTCTCTTGGATTCCTCTGGACTGTTACTGCAGACATGAACATCAGCCTCACTGACATTATTGACATTAATAACACAAATGAGAACTGACAACGATTAGGCCTGCTAACTGTCATCACACTCAATTAATTTAACATTGTCCATAATCACTCATATCCTAACCCTGTAAACTGAACTCTTTTTTGTTTCACCATTACATGAGCTGTTGTTGTTGTTGCTGTTGTTTCTGCTGCCCCCTGTCTCTCTCTCACCCTCGTTCTCTACTCTCTCTCCTTCCCCCTCCCTCTCCTTACTCATTCTCTCTCGCCCTCCCTTATCTTGTTCTCTCTCTCCCTCCCCCTGTCCTCTCCCCTCTCCCCTCTTCTCTCTACATTCCTCCCCAACCCAGCAGTGGCATGGTGGCTGTCTAACATGAGGCTGGTCCTGCCCAAGGTTTCTGCCTGTTAAAAGGAAGTTTTTCCTTGCCACTGCTACTCATGTTAGTTGAGATGGGCCAAAACCCATCATAGGTTGGTTCTTGATCATCAAACAATGAGCGTGGTCTATACCTGCTCTTGTTCCTTGAAAAGCGTCTTGAGATGACGACTGTTGTGAATTGGCGCTATATAAATGAAATTTGATTGATTGATTGACAATGATAACCCGTGACTGTCTTTCCTCAGGATGTTAACATGAGCAACTCACAACTCAAGAATGTCTTCTCTTTGCCAACATTGCTACTGTGAGTTTGTAATGTAATCATTTAAAAAAAAGTAGTGCAGATATCAGCTAAGATCTCAAGCACAGGCAAACAAATCCATCTCCATGCCAACCTTTTAAGTATGTTACTATTACTGAAAGCACTGTCATTATGTTTGGTCACCTTTGCTGGAATATGTTTCCAACTCATACTCACTTGTTTCACAGAAAGAACTGAATGCCTAAAACTTGTCTTGAAAAGTGCAATAACTTTGATTAATACTTAGAAGCTAGTTAGTAGTTGATGACTACTTTTGGCTTCTTCCTATTGACTATAAACAGACTTCTTACTTTGCACTGGGAAGAAAATCATTCAAAGACAAAGAGGTGGATGCAAAGAGGTGGTGAGAATTTGTAATGGGACGTTTTTGTATGAGTCTGCATACAAAAATCCTGATAAATCTATAAATAAATAAAACTATTTTGTCTTGTCCTTTTAATGAACATTTACTGCCACTATTTTCACTGACAAAATTCACACTGGGTAAAAGGACAGGAACTCCACAGTCTTCAATCTGTGGCATCTTCTCTGCTGAGTCTCATAAATTTGAAGCCAGTGGGTTTGTTAAGCCACAACTTCATTTCTGTCCTCCTTTTTCAAGTTGACTATTAAGAGCTGTGATGCCGTTTGTGTTACCTTGGCTTGGCTAGGCTTAAATACCTCAAGCCTGAGGGATGAAGGTTGTGATGTTATATGTTTCTCCACAACTTAGCTGCATCTTGGGAAGCCAGAAAGTGCTGTCCAACTGTCCAACTGGGCAACTCTTTCCTGTAGAGTGGTGAAACACAAGGGAGACCTCTGTGCAGCCTTCAATAGAATTACTCATGGACTAGTAATTCATAATTCAATAATGTGAATTGACTTCACAAAATCCCCCCACCCCCAAACACATTCTGCAGGATTCAGGAGAGAAACAATAGAGCAATATAACAAAGGAATATAAATAATTATTTAAACTGTTCCATCCAAGTGGCAACCAAGTGACATGGAAGTGCTTAATACTGCACATCCCAGAGCACCAGAAACCACACACCAATTCAAAAAAGCCCCTTTGTGCAGTGTTGCAATTGACTGCATGAGTGATCCGTTGGAGACTATCAAAGACCAAAAAGGTCTTTTGTAAAAATATCACAAATGTTCTGTCCAGACAAACGCTTCTTAAGATGACAATTGTAAGGAATTTTAGCTTTATAGATAAAATTGACTGATTAGGTTTAAAAGTAAAATTTTTGACATCACCAGCAGCTGTTTTTGTCAGCTGCTGCTAAATTACATTCACTGAAAACTCAGAGCTCACTGAAACTTGTCTATTGTTGGCTGGTGGGGGTCTTTGCAGCTGCGGCCCTGATTAAAAAAAAACAAAAAAAACGTATTGGAAGTTTTTGGGTGTAAAATGAATTAATCAATAAGTCTACTCTCATTTCCTATAAAAATCAGGAGTTTCTGCAGTCAAGTGTATTGCTACTCACACAAAGAGTAAAATTTTTTTTTTTTTTTTTTTTTTTTTACTTAAATGGACCTGAACTTCTTTTCTTCCGTTGTACCCCTAAATAAGCAGACAACAATAACCTAACTTAGTTATTCAAAACTCAGGACACGCCACTCGTAACAGTGGATTGGATGTAATGTTGACTGACGATGTCATAGATGTAAGTGTAAGAATGACAAATAGAGCTGTGTCTCTTGACGATTGTATAATGGCTGTGCACATAACAGAACTTGGCATGTTACTCAAAGCAAGTACATGTACAGAAAATCTGTGCACCCAGGGGGAGCTGTTGGCTACAAACAATTACCTTGCAACAGACATCTCCTGCTCTTCACATCTACAAAAGTTTGGCTAATCTTACTTTAGTTTGGCTGAGTAAAATAAGTAAACATTTAGGGCTCTATTTTCGTGCCTTGCCGGAGACGTGCCGCAGGCGCAGCGTAAGTCAGGTCCGCCGTGCCGACAAGGCGTTCCCAAGCACAATTTGGTATTTTGGTGAGCGGCGCAGCCCGGCATAAGTATCCCCCCTCCCTAACTCAGCTCCTCCCAGTGGCATAAGTCGTAGTGAGGGAGGAGAGAGGGTGTAGAGTGTGTTTAACACAGCCGAGACCTGTTTTCACCAATCACATAAGCTCCTCTCCTTGCCTTTAAATCCGCCACCGGCGGGGCGTATTACTATTTTCGGGAAGTACTCAAAGAGATCAAGAGATGTCTGAAGCCAGTAATGCCACACGATGGCGACAGAACGCAGCTCCTCAACAAGTGTCACTGTAAGCGCTGCATTGGGCGTCCTCCACACTCTCTCAGATGAGCACAGATGGATTTGGTGAGTGTAATGTTGGACCAGTGATAAGAAAAACACCCTTTTCCACTAATTAAGACACTCACATAAAGTTGCATATATTCAAACCTCACGTGACAAAGGTGGGTTGTGTGCACAGATCACAACTTAAACTCCAAAAATGGTATTAAAATCGAAACCATCTGTGCGTAAATGACGCATCACGCTCCGTGGCCTGGCTCTTTCTTTCATAGATGTTGGCATATAAATGGCACTGAAACAAATCATCTGTTCAGCCGCCGCTGCAGCAGGACGGAGAGAGGACAGGGAGACGTGTCCAGGTCGAGCTGTGTGAGAAATAAGAGGAAGAGGAAGAAAGAAAAGGAGGG